TGAGAGAGCACTTTGAGCCCTATTCCGAGACACACCCACGGAACTCGGGATAACTCGGGATTTGGAGCGGTGCTGCCTCTCCTGGAAACCCCCCTCCAGCACAAAACAACCCTTAGGGAGATTAATAACCCAACAGCCCCGGGATCCAGGCCCAGAGGTAGCCAAGCATCGCCGGGAACGCCACGTCCAGAGCAGGCACCTCATCCCTCCCTTCCAGCCGGGAGGCTCCAAGGCCTGTCCAGGCTGGACACACTCCAGGAGAGACCAGGAGTGAAAAGCAGAGGGATTTATCAAGGTGGGACTTTTCCCCGGGCTTGGGAAGGGCCATCCCTACTTCTGTGCTACCAACACGGATCTTTCCCAAGCAGGAGCATCGGGTTTTCCCACCCAGCCGGAACGTTTGCTTTGGAATTGTCTCCCAGGAAACTCACAAAGGGCATCAAAAGCTTCCTCATCCACATGGCACAAAGTTCCCAAAGACACTTTTCCCAGGTTCTAAGGGCAGGACAGTGGGACCCAGGGAAGTGGCACAGGGATGCAAGGCCTGTCATTCCTAAGTCCATGATCCCACGGCAGGGGGACTGGAACTGCGTGGTTTTTAAGGTCCCTTCCAACCCAAACCATACTGGGATTCCAGGATTTCCTTTCCTAAGGAGGGAACTCAACACATCATCAATGTCTCTCTCCAGCTCTGCATCCATGAGCTGATGTGTCCTGCTTGGGAATTCTTCCCTCCTTGTGATCCCAAGACCGGGATGGACCGAAGGACACAGTGTCCACAATTCCTGATTTCATCCATCTTTAGACAATACCAACATTTTATCCCAAATCCTACAGACCCTGGAATTTTCCCTGGGGTGTTCCCAGCAATCCCTGAGTTTCTCACTGTAGGACACATCCTTCAGAGAGCTGAAACTTGAATTCACCTCCCGAGGAAGGGGCCACACGATCCCATTCCCAGCCTTTAATCCCTTGTCCTAGTCCCCAAGCAGCTTTTCCCTGTGAGGGTGGTGAGCCACAGGATAGTTGTGGATTCCCCATCCCTGGAAGTGTTCCAGGCCAGGCTGGACAAAGGCTTGGAGCAACCTGGGATAGTGGAAGGTGTCAGGGTTGGAACTGGATGGGCTTTAAGGTCCCTTCCAAGCCAAACCATTCTGGGATTCTACACAATTAAAATCACTATTTAAACCCCCAAATTCCCAAGGGATCACTGCCACACCAGGTATTCCCACATCCAATTCCACACAGAGCTGAGGTTCCTTTTTTACAGAAACCCCCTTGTTTGCATTTTTCTGACTAATTCTGAGCTGTCTTGGAACACACTTCCTGCACCAGGGGTTTAGCAAACAATTCCCAGACAATACAACCCAGATACCAAACGTGCTCCTTGGATCCCGGCCATGCCAAGCGCTCCCTGGGTGTTCCTGGGCTCCCTGTGTTCCTGCAGAGCTCCAGATCCCGAGGGAAGGTGCCTGAAGGACACAGCAAGGGGAGGAGAGGTCGGGGAGTTTGCCTGGAGAGGTGGGATGGAGCAGGAAGGAGGTGGGATGGAGCAGGAAGGAGGCGTCTCCAAGTAAAACTCCACGAGTCAAACAAGGGGGAGATGGGATCAAGTGGAAGGTGCCCATGGAATGATGGTTTTAAGGTCCCTTCCAGGATTCCACGTGCTGCTTGAGATGGGATATTGGGAAGAAACTCTTCCCTGTGAGGGGGTGAGGCCCTGGAATGGATTTCCCAGGGAAGCTGTGGCCGCCCCATCCCTGGAAGTGTCCAAGGGCAGGTTGGAGCAACCTGGACTAGAGGAATGTGTCCCTGCTCAATGGCAAAAGGATTTTCCCAGAAAAGACCTGCCAGGAAAGGCACCTGTGCCAAAAACATTCCAGGGGGACCTTCTCCCCCTGCACAAATCCCTGCAGGAGGGTGGAGCCAGGTGGGGACTGGGCTCTGCTCCCAGGAACAAGGAACAGGACAAGGGGAAATGGCCTCAAGTTGTGCCAGGAGAGCTTCAGGATGAATTTCCAGGAAAATTCCTTCGTGGAAAGGTTGTCAAGCACCGGAACAGGCTCCAGTGGTGGAGTCCCCATTCCTGGAGGAATTTAAAAGCCGGGTGGATATAGCACCTGGGGACATGACTTGGGGTGGCCTTGATGATCCTGGAGGATTTTCCACCTTAAATGGTTGGAAATCCCACATAAATTGATCTCAGGGATCATCCCTGAGCTGTTGCATCCTCCTGGATGGACCAGAGCCACGCCACCTGTGTTTAAGAGCCAAGGAGCGGGAAAGATCCCTACCTTGACATTCCACAAGCCCTTCCCATCAGACCAGACTGAATTTGCCCAGTTCCCCTTCCCAGGAACAGCAGCACAACTTCCAGCACCCAAATTCCTCGTTCTGGGCTGTGGAACCTGCCCCAGATCTGCAGGTCCCCACAGGGCTGTTCCCGGTGCCCCTTCGGTCCCTCCACCCCTTGGGATGAGGTTTGGGACAGCATTTATCACCCTTCTCTCTTCAGACAACTCCAGAATGATTCGGGTGGGAAGGGACCCTAAGGATCATCCCATTCCCACCCCCTGCCGTGGGCAGGGACATCTTCCACCAGTCCAGGTTGCTCCAAGCCCTGTCCAACCTGGACTTCACATCCACCTCTCCATCCCAACACCCCTTCCTGCAGGCTGAATTAAGACAGGAGGGAGGAGACACGGACAGGACTCCCTCCCCTTCCCAGAACTCCCCAGATTTTAGGATCTCACCAGGGAAAAGCCCTTTTCTGTCCACAGCAGGAGCATTGATTGTATTATCAGCACACAGTTTGATGGCCCGTTTAACAGTCCCTGTTCCAAGTTTTCCTTTACTTAAGCAGGTGTTTCATTCCCAATAAAATGCAGGCACCCTTTTTAGTGCTCCCAGGAATCAATGTCCATAAACCACCGCTTGGAACAACACGGGAGATAAGCCAAGATCCAGCAGGTTGATAAGTTGTTTGTTCTCCCATTTATGTGGATCCCGAGCAGCAATCGGAACTCAGGATTAAAAGCCATAAACAATGTGGATGCCCCATCCCTGAAGTGTCCAAGGCCAGGCTGGACAGGGCTTGGAGCGACCTGGGCTGGTGGAAAGTGTCCCTGCCCACGGATATGGTTGATCTTCACTGATCCCTCCCATCCCAAACCATTCCATGATTCTATGACTTAGATCTCCAGTTCTTTTGGAATCACCACCCGAGTCTTCCACAAACCCCATCCCATGTCCATCCCTGTCTCCTCCCCACCAAACTACTGTTTTCCTCTCCTTGGATGAGGAAACAACATCAATTTGCCACTCCAAGATAATACATGGCAAAACGGGGGTGACACCAAAGACTCCAGGGAAAAACCATGGAAAACAAAACCACCTCCAGCAAAAATTCCTTTAAAAACCGTTTTTCTAAAATCCAGGCTGGATCCCAGCACACCAAGGCTGCTTAAAACTCCAGCTTCGGCCCTTCCACCCCAAAACCCAGCAAAATCCACAAGTGCTCGCTCTCATTCCACAGCAATTCCAGCCTCTCCGTTTGCAGCCAGGCCCGGCCTCTCTTCCCACGTTTCCCTCTCCCTGTTTTTGAGTGACTCCATCAAAACAGCCAAAGTCCAGTGAGATAAGGGGTGGACCCTGAGGGTCACGTTACATTTTCCCTCGGGAAGGAAGCCTTTCATTCCAACATGCCTTGAATATGCTCCAGGTGCCGCTAGAAGCCGGCGGGAAGTGCGGGATCCCGGGCTGGACACACCATCCATTGCCACCGGAGCAGGGAGAAGATGCCCACAAGCAGGGGGTTGGAACTGGGTGATCTCTAAGGTCCCTTCCAATCCAAAGCAATCCATGATTCCATGTCTGTCCTTGCTGTGCAGGGAAAATGGTGCCAGCAGGAGAAGGAAGGTCTGGGGGATAAGCAAGGGCACGGATATCATGGAATTAAAGGGCCAAGTGTGGTGTCCAGTCGTAGAATCCTGGAATAGTTTGGGTTGGAAGGGACCCTAAAGCTCATCCAGTTCCAAGGGCAGGGTTTGAGTAGTCCAGGTTGCTCCAAGTCCCGTCCAAGTTGGCCAGGGAACAATTCCAGGGATCAATCCACCCTCTACTTCTAAGAGCGCCCCTTTTCCCAAAGCAGGGCCCTCCCTCGGGCTCTCACTCCCCGTCTCATCCCTCCCTGTCCATCCCTAGTCCCAGAATCCGCCAGGAAAGCTCCATGGAGAGGGTTCTCCCTCCCAAATGATGCTGGTGCACGGGTCAAGAACCTGGGAAACACCAGCTCGGGCCCAAAATCCAGGAGGCTGTTCCTGGTTGTGTCTCCAGCTGCTCCCTGTCCTCTGGCACCGCACAGGCTGGTTAATGATTCCTCAGGCACACTCGGTGTCCCGGGATTCTTATCGGAGAGAGCAAAGTCCAGTCAGCACCATGAGTGGGAAGAGGGACGGGGGTTACCCGGCAAAGCCGGGCCAGAGCAACCCCATCCCCGGGCAGGGAAACCCTCAGGAAGGATGTCCGGCCATGGGCTGGGAAGCATAGATGGCCCGGAACAGCTCCCAGCTCCAGCTGGTGGAATTCCTTAACTGTTTGCATCGGGAGGGACCTTAAAGCTCATCCAGTTCCACCAGGGAACCCTCCACCAGCCCAGGTTGCTCCAGCCTGGCCTTGGACACTTCCAGGAATGGAGCAGCCAAAGCTTCCCCGGGAAACCTGTGCCAGCACCTCCACTTCCAGACCACTCTGGTCTTTTCCCACCAGGAGGAATCCATGAGGCCTCCAACCAGGAGAAAGCAGAGCAGGATTCCATCTCTCCTTCCAAATAACCACGTCCAGGAGCCATGTAATTCCAGGTTTCTGGCAGCTGGGATGACTCTGGCCCTGGAAAAGCCCTCACTGATAAGAGTGAGAGAGTGGAGGGAATTCCTGCCTGTCCTCCCAATACCTTCCTTGACTGGCATCCCTTTCCCATATCCCTGCACCCCTATCCTTACGCAACCCCATCCCAGGCACCGGATCTCCGAGTTCCCAACACGCCCTTTTCCACCAGCCTGGTCACACCTCCAGCACAACTCCCTCTAATCCGCCTCTTCCTGAACCTTCTCCCGCTCCATGCCCAGGCATCGCTCCCGGGACACCGACCCGGGGCAGGTTTATCCGGGACACGGGCAAAGTACCTCCTCACGGAGGAGCTGACGCCGCTGCTCCCCCGTCCCAACCCACCCTTATCTTTAGGGATCCACCCTGCCATGCACGCTGGCTTTGCTCCATCTGGATGCCTCCTGCCCTTTCCCCTGGATAAAGGAGTTCTGGGGCCCAGGATGAAGGAGTTTTAGGGAAACTGGAAGGGGAAGCACCAGCATGACCATCACTGGCTCTCCATCAGCCTTTCCCGAGGATGAGTCCTTTGGCCGATGGCTCTGGGAATCTCCTGCTGGGATGGATGTGGCAGCTTCCCCACAATGTCCAGGAATGCCACCTGGCTCTGGTGATGGGCTCAAGGGAATGTTTGAGGCTCTTCCCTGCTCTGCTCAGGCCTCGGGATGGAGCTGGAATCACTGGCATCCTCACGTCACCTGCTGGGTGGGCAGGGAAGCTCGGAATAGCGGGAAAAGAGAGGAGAACCAGGGAACAATCCCACTGGGAAGAGAGATGGAGAGGCAGAGGGAAAAGCATGGAAAGGTCGGGAATTCTGCGCCGTTACCTGCTCGGATCCAGCGCATCCTGAGCATGGTGAGAGCGGCTCAAGCTCCGGCCGTGTCCCCGCTCTCCCGCTCGGGCATCATTCCCTGAACTTGGCTCCTCCAGCTCCCAGCACTGCTGCTGTTGCTGCCTGCTGGTTTTTCTATTCCCTCCGGGAAGAGTGGGAGGGCCGGGAGGCTCCGCATTGGGATTTGGGGATTACCCGGAGGGAGGGTCATGTGTTTGTGCTGTACCAGGTTCCCCGGGCCCATTCCAGCACGGGCTGACTCCCGGCTCCCAAAGAACTCCAGGCAAAGCCTCTTACCCTTCCCAGGCCCCGCAGTGACTGTCACCTGCGCTCCCCAGCCACTCCTCCCAACCCCCCCCCCCCCGCCGGGATCACCGCGGGATCGCAGCTGGGACACGGATTTGGGGGGAAGGGACAGGCAGCCACTGGGAAGAGCAGGCAGGAAGCCCCCAAAAGCTGGTTTTCTTAAGGAATTCCAAGGAAAGTCAGGCTCTCATATGCTGCAGTTCCACTTCTATGTCAAGCCCAAGAAGCCAAAATCACGGGACACCCGGATAACCCCACACCCTCTGCTCCAGATCCCATCTTCTCCTGCCCTTTCTGCTCCCGGGTTTCCATTTCCCTGCACCCCGAAGCATCAGGAAGACTCCGGAGCAGCCTCTGGATTCTGCAGGAAGCTCATGGTCTTACACCAGTAGGAGTTTGACCAGTGAATTCCTTCTCTGCTCATTCCCACCATCCCCAAATTCTCCCTTACAGGTGCAATCCCAGGTGTCCTGGGATCACCTCACTCCCTCAGCTCCATCATTTTGTGTTCCTTCACCCAAGGAAAACAGGGAAATGGTCCAGACCTCTTCCTACAGGGAAACATTCCCTACTCACAGACACAAATCCATAATAAAAATCACCAAGAGAGGAACCAACACCGGGAATACAGGAACAGGTTGTCCAGAGATGTTCTGGATGACAGAGGGTGGGTTTAGATGGGATATTGGGAAGGAATTCTTCCCTGTGAGAGCAGTGAGGCCTTGGAACGGATTTCCCAGAGAAGCTGTGGCTGCCCCATCCCTGGAAGTGTCCAAGGGCAGGTTGGATGGGGCTTGGAGCAACCTGGGATAGTGGAAGGGGCTTGGAAGTGGATGATCCTTAAGGTCCCTCCCAACCCAAAGCATTCCAGGATTCCATGAACACGCATATCCACACATTCCCATGGGCAAAACCATCTGCTCCTGGTCACTCCCAGCTTGGAGACTCCTGTGTACCCACAAACCCCTGCATGGACACAGCCAACATTCCCAGTGCTCCAGGAAAACCGGCAGAGCCGCTTTATCCCACAGCACACAGATAACCCCCATGGAAATTTCACCAGTTCTTGTCATTTTAAAGCTCCACCTCAACCCCAAATCCACGGAACTCCCGGCGCTCGCCCTCTTTTCCCCGCTCCTCTCCCTAATTCCCGCTTCCCAGCCCCCCTCGGGCCCTGCTCGGCACATCTTTCCCGACGTGCATTCCTGGCCCACTCTTATCTCATAAATTAGCCGGGAGAGGGATCCCAAATAGCTGAGCCGTGGCGTCAGCGCTTCCCTGCGCGGGGCGGGCGGGAGGCAGGGAAAGGTTGGGAGCAGGATGCCAGCCAAGGGTCAGGAGCTCGCAACTCCCTCCTTTGCCTTTGAAACCCAAGACAAACGCTCCGTAAACACTCCCAAAACCATGGAAAACTCATTTCCCTCCGCTGCCAGAACCCCCCCCCAGCATCCCACGCTGGCTGCATCCCAGGGTTTTGTCCAGCTCTCCCTCAGGATGGTCCCGGGAGCCACCGAACATGGACCGGCTGTGCTCGCACAAACCATGGAATTCGGGAGGATTCCTGGGTGGGAAAAGATGATCCTCGAGGATCATCAGAACCCAACTCCTGGCACTGCACAGGACAATCCCAAAAATTCCATGGGCCTGAGAGCACCAGGACAACAAGGATCTTCTCATCATGGAAGAAGCGGAGCTGGAGGACTCAACGGGACCAGCCAGGATTGCATTCCCAGCATCTCCATCCCAGGACAGCAAGAAGTTATTCCCCATCCACCTCTTCCTTCAGAGACTTTTCCCTAATCCCTTCCCAAACATCAGAGCAAACCCTGGGATGTTTCCCATTGTTTTTCTGCTTCTCCATCCTCACAGGCCTCACATCCCACCCTCAAAGTGTGGACAACCACATTCCATGGAATGAGGGATATTCGGGGGAACAGGATAGCCAGGGAAATAAGGAAATCAAAAACCAAGGGCATTCAGGAAAACAAAGATATCCAGGAAAACAAGGATATCCAAGAAAAACAAGGATATCTGGAAAAACAAGGATACCCAGGGAAACAAGGATAACCAGAGAAACAAGGATAACCAGAGAAACAAGGAT